CAGCTGTAGGTGCTCTATTCTCCCTCACTGCCAGGAATTGCTCAGCCACATGGAGACATCAATGACTACACTCAGGGATTGGCAGGTTCATACATCATCTCTTCAATAATATGCCTTTTCATGCTGCTGAGTAATGACACAGAAAACTGAGAAAATCACTTGTTTTTGAGAAGTGACACTATCTAACTGACAGGGTAGGAGAGAGCCTATGCTAGCTATGCCTGATACTTAGTGCTGTGGGCTTAGAAAAAAAAAATGAGAGTATGTAATACACCAGAAAGAAAGACAAGTGTGAAGGAAGCAGGACGGAGTGGAATTTTAACAACAACAAAGAAAGAAAGAAAGAAAGAAAGAAAAGAAAAGAAAAGAAAAGAAAAGAAAAGAAAAAAGACTGAGATAGGAATAAAGAAAGAAAATGAATAAGGAAGATTCATCCTTAGGAACGCATACGAATAGCACAGTGAGCTAGGAGACAGTTATCATTTATGTGACATAGCACAGCTCGTATATTGTACTTTAATTTTAGGACATTTCCACTTATGAAAGCTGTGCAACGACATGTGTGAAACAGCGTGAAGATGTAATGTTTGCCAAGATATAGCTGAGTATTTACATCACAGGTTCTTGAAGCCTGACATATTCCTGGGGACTTAGTGAGGGTGCCACAGAATTCCTTGTGCAGGCTTTCTCACTTCGCAGCCACACCAGAACGAGACAGTGAGCTGACAGCTCTACTCTGCTGTATACCACATTCTGCATTCAAGCATAGGAACTCTGTCAGTGTAGGGTACGATGGTTATTATTAATAGCATGCATCCCCTTCTCAGAGTTTATCAGGACAAACCAATGTGATAACACTGAAGCGAGAATAGCCCCATTTATCCTGGCATGCTTTTGTAAAACACGTATTCACATGGAAAAAGAAAACAACAAAAGAACAGAAAAAGAAGGTGTGTTAGGGACCATGCACGATTTTCTTAATTTCTTATACTTAAAAGAAAAAAAAAGATCTTACACAATCTCTTGCCTTCTCCTTTCTGTCCTCTCTCCCTTCTCTTTGCCCTCTTACCTTTTCTCTCTTCTTTCAATTTTCCTTTTCTTCTCTCCCTTTTATCTTTTGTTAAATAGCGTTATTGCATTATAGCTGATATAGAGTAAGCTACACATATTTAAAGAATGTACCTTCTAAGCTTCAGGTTGTGTGCACATCCATGAAACTCTCATTATCACCAAGATAATGACAAGTTATGCCCTTTCCCAAAGCTCCCTTATGATTTTTATTTTTATTTTTTGCAATCATGTCCCATACCCCTTCCTGCCCTCCATCCCCACACCAGTCTGTTTTTATTTAGGATAGATTATTCTACAGATACATTTCATGTATCAAAAATCTCCATGTTCCAAAATAACTTTTAGAAGCTAGACTCACTGTTTCATATTGTCACAGTCAAGCAGTGGAGTCTTGGAGGTTGATGTGGGGATTGATTTAATGAACATGGTCTCTGGAAAAGAAAGGGTGTGATGGGAAGGCAAAGGAAGGGGAGAGAAATATGAAGTAAGGGAGGGAAGAGGAGGTAAAGAAGGGAGAAGGATAGGAAAGGAATCCATCTGAGTAGAGGTTGAGAGTGAACCTGGGGCCCTTGTATTCTAGGCTATTCTGTCACTGAGCTACATCCCAAGCCCTGTGTTACATCTTCTCAAAGGCTACAGCCACGCCTGCAATGAACCCTGGGATGGCTGGCCCTTCTCACTTCTCCAGAAACCGATGCATTGGCTGGCCTTTCACAGCCCATGGGAATCAGTCACATAATATGGGTTTGGGTAGGGAACAAGACCTTGTTTGAGGCAATTCTTCAGCAGAAGATTGGAAGCTAAGAGCTGGCAGCACCCTGCTGGCTCTGGGTTATGTTTGGAGGGAATACGTGCAGAATCTCTCTTTGTTCTTCACTTACTAATCCTACCTATCCTCTCCTAAAGGGTTCTTTCATATAATACTAGAGAGGCAAAGGGTAGCCATCCAGTTTGGAACTTAAGTCTCTAGAATCATAAGCTAAATAAACATTTTTTTCTCCTTGGGATTCGGTTTCCCCAGCTATTTGAGATAATACAAATCTGATTAATAAATATGACAGGATAGTTGGAAATCTTTTAATAAAAATTTTAAGCCCTTGAGAGGACATAATCTGTTAATCTGAGAGTAATCTGTTAATTCAAGTTTGAAAAAAGAGTCATCTGTTAATAAATATCTTCATTCATCCCTCTAGTACAGACTCCCCCACCCCTGAATTAGACACGTAGGATGGGATAATTCTTGATTGTAGGAGGCTATAGATTTTTTTTTTTGCTAGATATTTTGTAGCATGTCTGGTCTCTACTCTCTCAAATGCAACTAGCAGCTCTCTGAATCCACTGACATTAATAAAATATTATACTAAATGAGAGCAGACTACATATTTTTTTACATGAAATTTCTAGAAAACACGGAACACAGGATCACCAAGATAGCTCGGTTGCTAGATATTTACTACTAAACTTGAAACCCTGAGTTCCATTCTTGGAAATCAAATGCTGGAACAACTCCTGTACATCTTCCTCTGACATACATATGGCCAACGCACATGCCACACCTCCTAGTAAGTCAGTAAATGTAAAAAACAAATAAACAAACCCCAAACAAACAAACAAAAACAGAAAAGAAAGAAAATACAAAGAGTAGATCAATGATCCCTTTTAAGGATGACAGTGAGAGGGAGTGGCTGAAAACTGACATAAGGACAATTTTTGAGGTGATGGACTTGCCAAATACCCGTAGGTAGTGTTAAAACTGCCCTACACTGCAGTGTGCTGGAGTTATTGATCCTTTTCTACCTCATGTGCCTTTCTCAGTGCTTTCTCAGTTAACCTTTCGATGTGGCAATCAAAAGCACAGCTAGTTGGTAAGTTTAGTAAGGGTGCAGTGTGTGTGTGTTTGTGTGTGTTGAAAAAGTACTGAGGACAATGAAGAAATGAAAAATAAAAAGAAAAACATACTCAGTGGAAGTGATCTTGGGTGAAGAATTGAAGAATTATTAGGGAATAATCGATGCACACTTTTTTAAATCAACAGTGCTTGTTATAGGATACCATAGACTGGGTTGTTTTCAAACAATAAAAGCTTATTTTAATGGTTCTGGAAGTTCAGATGTCAGAATTCAAGGTACCAGCGGATTTGGTGTCTGGTGAAAACCCACTTTCTAGTTCACAGGCAGCCACCTCCTTGTGTCTTTGAGGATGCAAGATCTACACCCCTTGCCCAAACTTAGTCCAGGAATGTTAGAGAATGTGCTGCTCAGTTCTGTCCATAGGGAGTGGACAGAATTCCTGTGATGTTATTTTTCATCTTTGCTCCTAAGGTAAATCCCTAAGTAAATTTCAAAATTTCAAAAATTTCAAAATTTTCAAAATTTCAAAAATGCTGAAGCATTTTTATTTTTGTGTACTCCTTCCATGAGAAATGTGAAAAAGCCTTGGTAGTTTTTTTCAGCTGGGATTTGTAAGTCCTCCAGTGAACAAAGAACAAAGCCCCTGTTCTTGGACCACGATCTATTTTCTTAGAATGAAATAACACCCCAGCTACTGACTTTGTCTGTGTGCCTGCTTGATTTCTTTCTAACACAGCAGCTGGTAGCTTGCAGTGCACATGCCAATGGCAGAATGTGGGCTGCCGAGGAGTGCAGGAGCCATTTGCTCGAAGGACCCTTTGCCTCTGGCTGTTAATTGCTTCCTTCTGATTTTAAAGGTCTCCACCATCGTCAGCCTCCACTGCTTCCAAGACTTGTTATAAACACCATGCTTTGCATTTTCGCTTTGCTGAGGATTAAAAAAGAACTTGGAGAGTCTCCTCCACATTCTGGACAGAGCGGGAAGGAGAAGTGTTGTTGGGTCTCTAGCTGAACACACACACGGTTGATTAAAGGCCTGTTGGGTGTGGTTCTTAGGGCTGCCCTCAGAGAACACTGAGCAGAGGTAAGGCTATGGTGGGGCTTTACAGGATTCTCTGAGTTCTAGTACTGTATTCACAGGGCCTGGTTGTCTTGTAAGTGATGCTGCCCTCGAAATACAACCTGCTGAAAACATAGACAAAACTGTGATCCTAACTTGTGCTCCAGATCTTAGGCCTTGAATCACACCCATCCCAAGATGGTTGTTTTCCAGAATGCCTTTGTGAAAGTCCTGACTAGGCACAATGTTCTTTTGTGGCTCCATGTTATTTGTGTGTTCTCTTATCACAGGCCTTACTATATTATACTACAGGACTGGCTTGTCTCACTATGTAGCCCAGTTTGGCTTCAAATGACTACATTAGTGATGTTGGGTGAATCTGGTATTACAGGGTGTACCATCACACCTTGCTATCCCCCATTTTGCTTTCACAATAAACTCATTTTTCTTCTTATTCTTAATCTCATTCTTTTACTATTACTGTAATAAAACATCACATTTTATAGCCAGGCTCTTTTAATAATTAGTTCTTTGGGAGTTCTGTGCCATATGTTTGATTATATTCATCTCTCCCCTAACTTTTCCCAGATCTGTTACCCCTTCCTTCTCCACCCAACTTTGTGTTCTTAAAACAAAACAAAACAAAACAAAACAAAACAAAACAAAACAAAACAAAACACCCTTTCAAGACCAATTTGTGCTGCCCCAATGATCCTGGCTGTGTGATCTTTCTCCACTCATGGTCAACTATAATACTTTCTTAGAGAAAACTGTCTCTCCTTCTCCCAGCACCTAACAGCTGCAAAGAGCTCCACAGTGGCCAGGTACCTTTTGGTTACTTTATAGTAACTCAATTGATCCTTACAACAGTTCCATAGAAGAGTTGCAATGATTAGCTTAAAGAAACAGATTTAGAAAAAAGTTAAAGAGGTTCCCTCCCCCTCCCCCCCAAGGTAACAGAGCAAGATTTTGGCTGAGCTAGGCCTTGAACTCGTCTTCCCCTGCTCCAGAAGCCATACCTTTAAGTTCTGTGTTACTGTGTGTTCTGGGTGCTGCTGTGTCTCTTAGGTTCAGATGCTGTTGTGGTCGACGTTAACCTTGGGCCTAAATATTACCTTCTTTAATATATGGTGTCATTTTGCATGTGATGTGTTTTTTCATAACCGTAAATGGCATTGTACTGCAGGTGCTTTTCCTCTCATGTCCATGACGCAACGCTTCGTACATTGCTATCAACACACCAAGTTAATTGCTCCTGACTGCTACACGCTTTACCCTGGCTATCTACCACACCTCGTTGACCTCTTCTCCCCATTGGAGAGACCGAGACTCATTATGTCAATGACACAAGGAGACTTTATCTGTGACACTTTATCAGCCTGTGTCAGAACTTCTCCTGGAACCTCTCCAGGGGTGGATCTCTGAGGCAAAGGGCAGGTGAGTACTTCACCAGGTGTGGAAGGTGTATCCGGAATGACTGTGCAGTCTGGCACTCCAGTCAGCATTGGAAGAATCCCCCCTTTTGACATTCTCATCAGTGTTTGGTAATTTTTCGTTCTTTTGAGGCATGTTGAATATTGTGATAATCTCCCAACCCCTTATCCACTGAGGGTATTTTCCAAGACCCCAGTGCATCTTTACAACAAAAAATGGTACTGACCTTCAAACATAATAAATTTTTCCTATGGCAAACTTTAATTTGTAAATGTGGCATAGAAGAGGTTAACAACTATTAAAGATGAATTAAAGAGAGTTGTGATTGTGCTGTTAAAAGTTATGTGAATATGGTCCTCCCACCTCCCTCCCCCTCTTATGGTACAGCAATCACCTTTCTTCTGGTTGACTCTGGGTAACTGAAGCCCTGGATGCATAAAGGCAGCTAAATCTTATTTTTGTTTTAATATACATATTTCTGGTTATTAGTAAGCACGACTTCCTGGCCCACAGGATTACCACTGTCTGTGGGTATTTTGGGTGTGTGAATGCATACATGTATATTCCTTTGTACAGTCTAGGTATTTCTTGTTTTTTTAAGATATAGCCAGTGAACCTTGCTGTCACTAGAGTTCTTACTCAATGGAACTCCAATCAGTCTTTGTTTCATGATTAGAGCTTTTGGAATGTTCTTTAATAAGCAACCCCTAACTCTTTGGCCATGAGTTATTATCTATTTATTTTATAACTTTATTAATATTTTAATTTTTGAGGCAAAGTTTCATAGAACCTTGGCTGCTTTTAAACTTACTACATAGCTAAATATGATCCTTTTGCCTCCACTTCATAAATACTGGACTTAGAGGGATGCACCTCCATACCTGGTTTTAAGCCATGCATGGGACTACTAACTGAGCTATATCCTGTTTTGTTTTATAGCTTTGAAGACTTTCCTAGGCTTTTCTACCCATTTGAATTTGCCTTTGTGTGAAATAAAAGCATGGGACCCAACTTTGTCTCTCTGCTAACCATGACTTTCATGTAGAGTACATTTAAATAACCCATTGTTTTTCCACTTAGACCTCATTTACATTTGTCATAGGTTTCTATAAATAAATGAATCTACTTTTATTGTAATCCCCCCTCAGTAAGGTATTAGTTTTTCTTCTGCAGAAGCATGCACAGCCGTGTCAAATCAAGTGTAGCAAGCACACATAGCACGGGGCAAGGTGGTGGTACCCTCGAGCTTTCATTTCTCATGCAAAAGGATCCTGTGCCTGATTCTGAGTGCTCAGAGCGTGGCCTCACACTCTTACACAGTTGGCTAACTCAGAACAGGGTAACAGATAAGCAAAGTGCAACTCCTAAGAACACCGTGCAACCCTAAGCACATAGTTCGATTTCAAGAAGTGCTGACCCTGGGCTGGGGAGATTACTCAGCCGTTAAAGGCTAGGCTCACAACCAAAAATGTAAGAAGTGCTAACCCTATGGGAGCTGAAATTTCTGCCAAGTGTCTTTTCTCCCCTTTCATTCATTTACTATCTACTTTACATCTGGGTTGGAACTTTCCTTCCCTCCTCTCCTCCCAGTCCCTCCTTCTCATCTTCCCTCTTCTCCCTCTCTGCCCCACCCCTGTCTTTCCAGAGAGGGATATCAGCTCCCATGGATATCAACCCACCTTGGACTGGGCTCATCTTCCTCTGTTAAGGCTAGATGAGATGGTCCAAGCTAGGGCAAAGGGATATTAGTGGGGGAATGGGCATCTCTGGGATGGGGGAGGTTCCTGGGAATACATGGTGGTGGCCCTAGCTGAGACTCCTAGAAGCAGGAAATGTGGAGCCCTAAAGTGGCCACCTTCTGTAGCCAGGTGAGCCTTCCAGTGGAGGGAGAGGACACCAACCCACACTCAAAACCTTCCACCCAGCCAACCACCGACTGGCACAGTGTGAGTCACAGGCCATGAGAGAAAGCCCACCACAGATACTATTAATAATACTCTGTTATACTTGTAGACAATAGGCTAGCATATCAGTCACCCAAATGATGACAGTTCCCCCAGCAGCTGATGGGAACAGATGCCGAGACACACAGCCAGACATCAGGTGGAGCTCAGAGATTTCTATGAAAGAGGGAGAGAAAGATTGAAAGAGCCAGAGAGGCCAAGAACACAAGAAAATCTACAGAATCAACTAGCCTGGACCCATAGAGGCTCACAGAAACTGAACCACCAACCAGAGAGCACCCATGGGACACAGGTAGGCCCCCTACACATATGTAACAGATGTACAGATTGGTCCTCATGTGGGACCTCTAACAGCAGGGGCAGGGACTGCCTCTGACTTCATAATTTATTATGCTTATTTTGTAATTCAGTTTGCTTCAGTGTCTGATAGAAGAATTTCTTCCCTTCCTCCTTTACGTCAGTAAAAAAAATTTTGAAATGAATTTTTATACCTTATATTCTGATCAGTTCTCTTCCCCTGACTTCTCCCAAATCCTCCCCACTCACCAACTCCACTCTGTCTCTTTAGAAAACAAACAAACAAACAAACAAAACCCAAACAAAAACAAAACAAACAAGTCCAGATTTAAAAAGAAAAAAATATAACACACACACACACACACACACACACACTGGAAAAAATAATTCATGACACAAACCATAATATACAAGGAAAAGGCCAGTAAACAAACAAACAAACAAACAAACAAAGCCTAAACAAAGAAATATGAGACCAATTTTGTAATGGGCATTTATTGATGAACATGAGGCCTGTCCTTAAGTGTGGTTTGTAGATCCAGTGAGTTTACACTGGGAAAAGCTAAAGCTCGCGTTCATTTCCCCTCTCAGCACTGACGGAGGGCTTGTTGATGTAAATTTCTTGTTTCTCTGTGATACCGGTTGTTCTTGTGCCTCTTCTGTCTGTAGGATGCCTGGCCAGGGCCTGGTATCATATCTGATTCACACCATTGTTTGACCAGTATACATAAAATGATTTGAGCTGGTTTATGATCGACTTTCACTGATTATTTGGGAAATGAGAAATGAGATAACGGAAGTCAGAATTGAATCCACCTTGTCTTCTCTCAAGGGAGAATGACATCAAAAGTCACGACTTCAGGGACAGGTGCATGGCTTTGGCTATAGCTATTTCTTCAGCTCCCTGGGGACTGGGGACTGTTCCCCATGGAGAAGAGCTTCTGTGCCAGGCTTTGAGAGATGGCAGTACACAAGGGCAGGGATCTGGCGTCTCCGGGGGGAATTTCAAAAGAAAACACAGAAATTTTCATAACAAAAAGTTTACAGAGAGGAAAATAACTCCATCAATTTAATTCATATTGTGATTTGCTCTTTGTTGACATGGAAACAGTTGCAGAAAAGGTTTACGCCAAAGAAAAGACTCTGTTGCCATCTAGTGGCGGCACATCCAAACGTCACCATTGTTAGGCACTGAAGTGGGATAAAGGCTTCCCCTCCCACTGCATGTTTCAGTATGGTGTGTGTGGTGAGACTCCACCGTGAAGCATGATGAGAGAGGAAAGGGCTGTGTGGCTCCTGGTCTTCCCGAAGAGTCATATTGCTACCTCTTTCCTGATGAACGTTTCTTTTATTCACAGCCCGACTGCAACCGGGGCCTCAATGTATCATCCAGTAAACTGTTTGAATAAGCCATAGATTCACTTCCAGTCTCTGGGCTTTCCACGGGAGATGCAAATAGCAGCTTTCCCTAGGGAGAGTGTGGTGCAATAGGACCCCCTTTCTAATTTGCAGCCTTGTCCTATGCCTATCGCAAAAGCTGCTCAGTGGAAAATTCCCATTTCTTTCTGTCTTGTTCTCTTCTAACTGACTTAATGAAATCAAGAGATTTTCTCTGAGGTCTTCCCTTCCACCGGCAAAACAGCAAAATGGAGGAAGGCCAGGATTTAGAAAACATTTATATTTTGTAGAGTAGAAGTTTTAAGTGTGTCCGTTTAAGGCCTAATTTACATCCCTGACTCCACCTACACGACACAGTCTCCCCAACACTGCACAAAGAGTATTTCCCAAATGCGTTTAGTCATTCTTTCCATCTCAGACAATTCATTCTTATAGGGAGAAAATTCTGTTGACTTAGTCTTTGAATTGCTGAGTATGTGTTCATTTGGACGAATGTATGCATCGATCTTCTCATGATGTTTTCTAGTATATTGCACACGTATCATTACCTTGGAGTCTCATAGCAACTTTGTAAGTGGCTATTATGATTATCTCGGTTTTTCAGATAGGAAGACAGTCTCAAGAGTCGTATCCGTGATCACCATAGCAGAAATTCAAATCTAGAGCTTTGTTTGGCATCAAAGAGTATCTTTTCCTCACAGACCGTGAGGGCTCTGGGCATTACACACCATCGTACAATAAGCCACCCTGTTACATATTCACGAAAAGAACACAAAACTAAAGCTTTGCGGTGCAGGGTTAGACACAGTAAGGAAATGGTCTGTCCTGAGGTTCAGCTTAGCAGAGATGGCTGTCAAGGCCGTGTCTATTTGAAAGCTGGAGATAATGCCTTCAAACACTCTGAAAGCTGGAACCTCTTATTGAGTGAGTGGCTTCAGATTATCTTTCAAATACTAGGGCCTGCGTCCTCCCTTCACAGGGGAAACTA